TTGGGTCTTATATAAACAAAAATGAAAAAACAATTCCCAAGAAAGATATAGCTGGAGGTTCATGGTACTTATTCACCAATTCTACCTGCACTTATAACCCACCTAAAAGCCCCTTAAGTGCCCTAACATGGCTATAAGCACAGTTATAAGCACAGTTAGAATTGGTTCATCCCTACACCCTAAACCCTAAACCATAAACCCTAAACCCTAAACCCTAAACCCCTAAACCCATAAGTACCATGAACCTCCAAGTAGGGCTCGGGTTTTACGGCTTTGCGTTTTGTCTTCAAGGCCAACGGAGACTGAAACCAAGCTCGGATTCAACAAGAAACCCCCCAAGCAATGGTCGTTCCTGGTTCCTGGAGGGGGCGAATTTCAGTATGATTGAACCTGAATGTGGATACTCATATCCAGATTCAGGTTCATGATTCTATCCAGACTTCTACTCATGCTCAAATTCGAATTCATGTTCATATTCTCGGCCCCGGAATCGTGAGCAAAACGAACAAGCATCTGCGGTGTCCCTTTCTGTCGGGATTAAACCATTTTAAGGTACATTCCTTAATGAAGGGTTTTGATGGCTTATAGGATTTTACAGGCTTTATAGGGTTTAAAGGGTCTATGGGTTTGAGAGGGTTTGATAGGGTTTTTCAGGTGTATCGGACTTCTTGGGCCCTAAACCCTAAACCCTAAACCCTAAACCCTAAAACCTAAAACCCTAAACCCTAAACCCTAAACCCAATGCGCTCGCGGATGAAGGCGCCCGCCTCCCTCACCGCCTCCGCAGCAAAGAGCCGTCGGAACACGAAGGCGTGGTCCTCTGCAGGGTTGTGGAGGGCTTTTAAAAGGGTTTTGCTAAGGGTGTTGTTTTAAATGCGTTTTTGGGGTTTTCAAGGGTTTTGAAGGGTTTTTAAGGGTTTAAAGGGTTTTTAAGGGTCTTAGAGTTTTTTAAGGATTTCAGGGTTTCAGGGTTTTAGGGTTTTAGGGTTTTAGGTTTTTGAGGGTTTTAGGGTTTCAGCGTTTCTGGGTTTGACAGTTTGAGGGTTCTGGGGTTTTATGGTATGGCTTAGGATGAGGGGTTTTCGGGATGCTGTAAGGGTTTGTGGTTGAGCGGTTCAGGTGCGCGCTTAGGTTTAGGGCTGCGGGGTTTAGCTAGACTTTAGGGTTGAGGGAAAACCTCCTCATCCCAAGCACAACCCTGAAACCCTAGAACTCTAAACCCCAAAACCCCAAAACTAGAACCCCCCAAAACCCTAGAACCCTTAAACCCTCAAGTCCACTGAAATGGCTCAGAGAGGGCGCTTTGGAGTGGCTGAACCCTAAACCCTAAACCCTAAACCCTAACCCTAAACCCTAAACCCTAAACTCTAAACCCTAAACCCCTGGTTGCGGTTGGACCGGGAGCCCAAAGCCGCGCTTGGGGGATTAGGGCTTCGGGCTTAGGGTTTGGCTTAGGGTTGAGCGTTGAGGGTTGAGGGGTGAGGGTTGAGGGTTGAGGGTTGAGGGTTTAGGGTTTAGGGTTTAGGGTCTAGGGTTCAGGGTTTAGGGTTTAGGGTTTAGGGTTTAGGGTTTAGGGTTTAGGGTTTAGGGTTCGCTTCGGATGCTGAGGTTTGGGGTTAGGGACTCAGGGTCTTGGGTTCAAGGTCTTAGGTGCGAAAGGTCTGAGGGTTTACGAAAATATAAGCGCATAAGGCCCAGCCCTAAACCCTGAACCATCTACTTTAAGGGCACTAGGGCTTGGGGTTTTGAGTTTTAGTGGTTTTTCCCTAAGTCCTAACGTCTTGCGCCACTGTCCCTTCGGTAAGGTTTAGGGGTTAGGGTTTAGGCTTAGGGTTTTGGGTTTGGGGTTTTTGGGCTTGACTTCAGGGCTCACAAAAAGCAAGTCTCCACGTGCAATTCAGGTGCTTGCTCGCTCTCTTCCTCTTCTTCTTCTTCTTCTTCTTCTTCTTCTTCTTCTTCTTCTTCTTCTTCTTCTTCTTCTTCTTCTTCTACTCAGCTCGCTCTCTCTCTCTCTCGCTCGCTCGCTCGCTCGCTCTCTCTCTCTCTCTCTCTGTCCTCCCTCTCTCTCTCTCTCTCTCTCTCTCTCTCTCTGTCGTCTTTGAACCACAAACCCTGAACCCTAAGCCCCAACCCTAATCCCTAAACCCCCCGGATTCCACCTAACCACACACAAAAACCTCAAATCCTTCCCAATTCCTCCCTATGCGACCCGAGAACAGAACCAGTAAACCGCACACCCCAAACTTACCCTAACTCCTAAGCCCCAAGCCTTAAAGCCCAAACCCCCCCAAGCCCCACATTCAGGGTTCTGGGTCTCGGGACCCCAAACCCTAAACCCCCAAGCCCGGGGGACGGGACGGAGACATTTACACCCCAAACCCATGAACCCTGAACCCTAAACCCTAAACGCTAAACCCTGAACCCTGAACCCTAAACCCTAAACCCTAAACCCTAAACCCTAAACCCTAAACCCTAAACCCTAAACCCTAAACCCTAAACCCTAAACCCTAAACCCTAAACTAAGCTCCTAATCACACCCTGAGTGCCCTACTCATTCGCTCAAGAAAGGGAGGCCTGGAAGAGGCGCAGCGCGGCTTTCCGCGGGCCAAGTCTGGTTGCCCCTGGCACCTGCGCTAGGGTTTAGGGTTTAGGAGCTTGGGGGTTTAGGGTTTAGGGTTTAGGGCTCAGGGTTTAGGGTTCAGGGTTTAGGGTTCAGGGTTTAGGGTTTAGGGTTTAGGGTCTAGGGTTCAGGGTTTAGGGTGATGAAAGCACCCAGGCGCGCTCCCCAAGTCGTGTATCCTCCACCCTCGTCTTGACCTTTTCGAGTCTAGGGTTCCCCTGCTTTCTGATCGCGCTCATGTTTTTCATTCGGGATGCATTTGAACTAAGGGTCTGATGGCGAAGCATGCAAAAGCTTGGACACAGAATGTCAGGAAGTCGCAGGGCGGGCGTCGGGGGTTGGGGGTTGGGTTGGCGTTGGGGGTTGGCTCGCCGCCTCGTGTCCTTGCCCAGGAAGCCACGATGAGGACACAATGAACGGCAGGGCATTTCTACTTTGGCTTCGGAACCCCACAAAACTACACAGCAATGGTCCCTGTGTGGACCTTATAAAGGAAGAATATAATTCTTGGGGGGTTCCTAGGCACATAGTAGGTTAGGGAGTGGCTTGACGTGCTGAAAGTCCTTCGACTGCCTCTTCGAAGGTTCTAGATCTCAGGTTTGGCGTTGGGGTTTTGGCTCGACACACCTTATTCGGAGGTTCAGGGCACTTAAAACCCAAGTGATAGCTGTATTCATAGCCCCCTTATAAGCCCCTAAAAGTGCCCTAACATGGTTGTAATTGGGTTTCAAGTACAGCTATATTTGGGTCAACAAGTACCATGAACCTCCAAGCAGGGGATGTCCAGTCTACTTCCGGAAAAGGGCTCTTCCGAGATGCCTGCTGCGGTTTTGGGGTCCTGTTTAAAAACCTATGGGTTTGCGGTTGAGGGTTTAGGGCTTAGGATTCCGGGTTTAGGGTTTAGGACTTAGGTTTTAGGGTTCAGGGTTCAGGGCTTTAGGGGGTTTAGGCTAAGGGTTTAGGAGTTTAAGGTTTAGGCCTTTGGGTTTAGGGTTTAGGGTTTTTGGGTTTAGGGGTTACGGGCTTAGGGGTTAGGGTTTGAGAGTTTAGGGTCTTGGACCTAGGGTACGGGGCTCCGCGGCGCCTCCATGAGGGCGATCGTCGTGGCAACGTTGTAGAGCCGCTCAAGCCTCGGACTTTCCGACTTCAAAGACCTAACCTGCCATTTTCGCGGCGGCTCCCTAAACCCTAAGCCTTAAACCTTAAAAACCTAAGCCCTAGATCCTCCAAAGCATCCTGACAAAACAGAAAAGCCCGAAACCCGAACCCCTAAATCCGAAACCCTGAACCCTGAGCCCCTACAGTCGAGCCTTTGAGTGTCGAAGGTAAAGACCCGTAACCCAACGCAATTGCTGGTGCAACCGGGCCCCCCTCTCTGAGCTTTTTCCTTTCTAAGCTCCCCCCAGACCATTTCTGAGCCTTGGGCTCCCAGACCATTTTCTGGGCTTTTTTGGGCTTGTCCCAGACTATTTCTGAGCTTTTTTGGGCTCCTTCCAAACCAGTTCTGAGTTTTTGTGCTTTTCGACCATTTCTGAGTTTTTGGGCTCCCGAGACCACTTCGCGCTTCTCCCAGACCATTTCTGAGCTTTTTTGACCTCCTCCCGGACCATTTCTAGTCCCTTTTTCCAGACCAGTTCTGAAGCAAGAAAGCTTCTTTTTCGTTCACCAGCAAGCTCCCAAATGGGGGGGACCCCCAGGATTGCACAATGAAAATCGCGGTTTTTTACTGAATTTCGATGGTTTTTTGGGCTCCCGAAAGCCCATGCAGCCCCTCACAAAAGCTTCTGGAGCGTTTTTAAGGCTTCTCCCAGACCATTTCTGAGCTTTTTTGGGCTTTGGGTTCCTCCCAAACCATTTCTGAGCGTTTTCTGAGCTTCCCCCTGAGTTTTTTTGGTGCCTCCCACGCCATTTGGAAGGCTTTGTGAGTCTTTTGGGGCTCCCCCCGTTCCCGGACCATTTCTGAGACTTTTCCAGACTGCTTTTTCCCAATGAACCCAGGATTGGCCTGGAGGAGGCCTCTTTCGACGCTCCCCAGACTGCGTTCGCCCAAAGCGTCTCAGACCCTCATCCACAACAATCCAGCCCGCGCAAGATATTGTGACATGGAGCATCTTTCCCGCAACACAAGCCCATGAATTGCAAACCTGAAAAACCATCCTCCGACCCAACCCATCCTGGAACAGAACCACGCGACGAGACTCATTGCACATGCTCTCGACGTCCGCCAGCGTCGCCAACAGGTTGCCCATCTGCGAGGCACGCTGGCAGCACCACTCCGCCACCACGGCAAAGGTGCGCAACTCCGTTGTTTTTCGCCTTGCCCTGGCTGGGGCTTGGGCTTCCAAGACAAGGAATGACTAGTAACTAGTATATATAGACTCTATGACATGAATCGCAAATTGGTCCCACTTGCCTTGGCCTTCAGCACGGAACCTTCTTTGCCTTGCGGGAGCGTCCGACAGGGAGCATGGTGTTCTCCGAACAATCGATGGCCCACATCCTGACTTGTCGTGGCAAATGGGCCAGGAACAACGCGTGCGCCCTCGCCAAAACGTGTCAAGTAGCCAAGCAGCCACAGGTCTTTGCGAGATTTGGCGTCCTCCGGACATGTTCCCATATCCATGAAGTCGAACTTTGCACTCATTTTAGAGAGGCAGAAACGCACCAGGAGATCAGACGCGTTCTGGCCGCTGCTGCCGCAGCAACGGGCCGACTGGGCAAGTTCTTCATCACTTCCTCCTGACTGTCCTTGTGAAGAGACACGCATGCGACACTTGTCTGTGTACCTTGTAGCGAAAATGCTTTCAGACGAGGGTCCTGAAACATACCTTGCCTCATCATGACCAGAACTTGGGGGCACAGCTCTGGCTTTTCCTTGACCATCTCTACGATCTCCTTGATGACATCTGACTTCCTGGTGGAAATCCCACCCCATTTGGGAGAAGTGAGGCAACCTCTTCACCGACACGTCCAGCAGCCCGCTTCACGCTCCGCTGCCGGCGGGCTCAGGCGGTCGGCCTCCCCCAGGCGCTTGCCAGCCGCACCACCGTGCTAGGCGGAGGCGGACGTTGATGACGGCGTCGGCGGCGCTTGGTACGTGCGAGGGGAGCGCCTGTCCACAGCCAGGAAATGCGAGCGGACGTCGGGCGAGCTCTCCGACGGAGCGCCGTCGCCGGGCCACACAAAACCGTCTGCACACAAGCAGTGCAAAGTGGCCAGTGACCATGCGAGGCCACAGCACACCCTCACGCTTTCTACTGTTCCCGTTTGCGGCTTGGTGTCGCTGTCTGTTCTTTTTGCGCGCGCAAATAGCCACCTGAAAGCCGAGAGCATCGAGCCCGCGAGTGCCTGATAGCGCGCTTCTTCAACAAGACTAACGAACGCGGCCACGCCGTCCGCTCAACCGAGAAACAAGAAACGATACTGCAGAGTCGAAAAGTGAAAGCCTCGGCCTCGACAAGTCGACCTCGCCAGGCGACAGAAATTTGATCTGCTACCTTTGGCAATCGACAAAGAGATGCGGACAAAATACATTCTGGCATATCTGCTATTTCGCTTTCCGAGCGGCTCCGAGCGCATCACCAGACGATGACATATGCACGCCTTGCGCTCGTCAGCCCCAAGGGGCCCCTGCACGCGTCATCGTCTGGATCTTCTGCGCAAGGAACCGCGGGGTTTAGCCTCTTCTGCTTTCTGAATGCGCTCCGGGGTACCCATTGCTGTGGTCTTTCTGGGAGTAAGGGTTCGGTTCACGGGGCGTCAACGTGCCTCGAGCTAATTGAAACCCCGTGCCTTTGCTGCTTTACATACACTCGATTGTCGCTCTCGCTTTGTAAAGGAAGCAGGCAATTGTAGAGAAAAAGCTTTGGCCGCTACAACCACATGCAGATACTATTCTTGGACCGAAGCATTTCCATACAGACACCTGTTTCCTTTAGACTTCAAACCTCTCAACTGAGACCGCCCGAGAGAGTGCCAGGCGACCATGGTACTCCTCGCTACCTCAGAATATCCAGATTTTTTCTGGGCCGCGTCGCGCGCGATGACGCGTGCGCGCGCAGGCAGGGACTGAGATGGGGGCAGGTGTAGAGACCAGGCGACACGTCGCCTTGGAACCAATGCTCTACAGCTCCACAAAACATTCCCAGCGCAGAGTGAGGCGACGACGCCGGTCCACATGACCAGCGGCACTTGCTCCTGGACAGCAAATGGGTGTCAGGAACGGAGATAGGGCGGGCTTTATGTAGCCGAGAGGCAGCACCATGCCCTGCAGCTTCGCAGCAGCACTTACCCCTGTGAGCCGCGAAGTGCGCTTCGGGTCGGGCGACTGCGCCCTAAACACCCCGAAACCCTAAATCTCAAATCCTTTGCATGGTTGGCCAGCTAGCGGAAAAAGAACCACGAAAAAGCCCTTGCCCTCGTTGGGACCCTAATTGGGGGCCTTCTCCGTACGGTTAAGGGTTTGGGACCGACAAAGTTTTTTCACCCTAAATCAAGGGTTTGCGGCAGTAAGGATTTGGGATCGAGACCTTCAATTAAGGGCCGAAATTGTAAAAATTAAGGATTTGGACCCTTATGGGTTTTGACCCTAAATTAAGGGTTGGGGCCCTAAATTACGGGTTTGGATGCTCCCCCCTTGCTTGGGGGGGGTTGGGGGGTAGATATGACCCTAAACCCGGCTAAGGTTTGTGATGTGGGTTGGGAGGGTGGGACTTCAGCTCCTGCGCTTCCACTTCATGGGGGGGGGGGGGGGTCTAGGCGCACTGGCATAGCAAAACCCTAAACCCTAAACCCTAAACCCTAAACCCTAAACCCTAAACCCTAAACCCCAAACCACCTTCCACCTCTCTGCCAGGAGCCCCACTCTTGCTCGCTGAAGCGGCTGGCATGGCCGCGAAGCCTGGGGTGTTTAGGGTTTAGGGTTTGGGTTTTGGGGTTTGGGGTTTGGGGTTTGGGGTTGAGGGTTTTGGGTTTGGGGGTTCAGGGTTTGGGGTTTGGGGTTACAGGTCCAAAGGGCCTACTTGGAGGTTCATGGTACAGAAAAAACACCAATAAAGACTGTACTGATAACCCACTCAGAAGCCCTTTAAGTGCCCTAACATGGTTAAAAGTACCCGAAACTCTAAACACTAAACCCTATACCCTAAGTCATAAGTGCCAGGAACCTCCGAGTAGTGGGCACCCAAGTCCCATAGTTTTTTTTGTCCAAAAGTATCGGGCATACGGCTCGATACACGGTTCGGGCGCTGAGGATGAGAGAGTGGCAGATCTACATTGCCTCGGACCCAGCGTTGGCGGTTTAGGGTAGTTTAGGGCTTAGGGCTTCGGGTTTAGGGTACAGGGTATAGGGCTTAGGATTTAGGGTTTAGGGTGTAAAGTTTAAGGCTTAAGGTTTAAGGGTGTTCTTCGAGCATGATCTGACTCGCCGCACGTGGCCTGTGCTGTAAGAAAACAGGCACTGCAGGAGCGTCGCTCCCTAAACACTAAACCTTAAACCCCAAACCCCAAACCCCAAAGCCCCAAGCCCAAAGCCCAAAGCCCAAACCCTAAACCCAACAATCTGGCCTCAAGCCCTTTGACCCCAACCCCACAGGGCCCAAGGTCCAAGGTGCCAAACTCCACCCAAAAACCCATAATTGCGCCCCAACAGTCCCAAAACCCTAAACCTTAAACCCCAAACCCTAAACCCTAAACCCCAAACCCTAAACCCCAAACCCCAAATCCCAAACCCTAAACCCTAAACCCTCCACCGGGGCTCGAGCAGGGTGCCCGAGGCCTCGAGCAAGCCAGCGATGAGCTCCATCGTTGGCTTCGGCTGCGAGGCTTCGCCTGGGTTTAGGGTTTAGGGTTCAGGGTTTAGGGTGTATAGGGTGTAGGGTGTAGGGTGTAGGGAAAAGGGTATAGGGTATAGGGTATAGGGTATAGGGTATAGGGTATAGGGTAGAGGGTTGAGGGTTGAGGGTTGAGGGTTGAGGGTTGAGGGTTGAGGGTTGAGGGTTGAGGGTTGAGGGTTGAGGGTTGAGGGTTGAGGGTTGAGGGTTGAGGGTTGAGGGTTGAGGGTTGAGGGTTTAGGGTTGGGGTTTAGGGTTTAGGGTTTAGGGTTTAGGGTTTTAGGGTTTAGGGTTTTTAGGGTTTAGGGTTTAGGGTTTAGGGTTTAGGGTTTAGGGTTTAGGGTTTAGGGTTTAGGGTTTAGGGTTTAGGTTATAGGGTTGAGGGTTTAGGGTTTAGGGTTTAGGGTTTAGGGTTTAGGGTTTAGGGTTTAGGGTTTAGGGTTTAGGGTTTAGGGTTTAGGGTTTAGGGTTTAGGGTTTAGGGTTTAGGGTTTACGTCTGCAAGCGCAGGACTGTTCAGAGATCGAAACCCCGAATCCAGGGTTAGCCGGGTTAGCTGGGCTCGCTGCCACTTTGCAGGAGAGCCGAGCTCACAGCCAGCAAGCTTTCCTAAACCCTAAACCCTAAACCCTAAACCCTAAACCCTAAACCCTAAACCCCTGCAGTCTCCAGGCTCGCCTTGCGGCCCCTCGGCGCTTTCAGTGGCGCGAGGTCCGCCTCTTGTTCCAACGCCAGCGGCTCCGCCAGCTCCCACGCGCGCTTCCAGTGCAACGCGTGCTTGGCTGCGAGGTGCTGGTGCAAGGCGTATACCCCCTCAACAATGCGCTGGTCTTTGCAGCCGGGCGACAGGTTGAGGTTGGCTTTCGCTGCGGGCGGCCGCCAGAGACCTAGCTTTCGACCGAGCTCGGCGTCGACGCTCGCCCCTGCCAGCCGCGGTGCTGGCTAAGGACGCAAATAAAGCCAAACAAACCGTACCCTCTACTTGACTCCAATTCCTAAACCCCAGCCTCGCCGAAGCCTAACCCTACACTCCGCCTAGGGTTAAGGGTTAGGCTTTAAGCGCTAGACCGTTCTGTAGGATTTAGGGTTGCCGGTCTTTCACGTCAGCCGTGAAAAATGGATCAAGGCTTACACCGCCGAGCGTTCGGACACAAGTCTTCACATGCAAGGTTTGGCACTATGAAGCAGGGGTTTCAAACCTCAGACCCTAAACCCTAAACCCTAAACACCTGAAACCCCGACACCCGGAAACCCTAAAGCCCTAAAGCCCTTAAATCCCCTAAACCCTGAAACCCTAAAACCCTGAAACCCTAAAACCCTAAAATCCTAAAACCCTAAAACCCTAAACCCTAAAGCCCTAAAACCCTAAAACCCTAAACCCTTGAACCCTTAAACCCTTAAACCCCTTAAACCCTTAAACCCTAAAAAACCCTAAAACCCTCAAACCCGAAAACCCCAAGACCCTAAAACCCCAAAACCCTTAAACCCTAAAACACCCTAAAACCCTCAAACCCTAAAACCCCAAGACCCTAAAACCCTAAAACCCTAACACCCTAACACCCTAAAACCCTAAAACCATTAAAAACCCTTAAAAACCCTTAAAAGCCCGAAAACCCTAAAACCCTAAAACCTAAAACCCTAAAACCCCCGAGTCCCTCAGCCGGGCCCTAAACCCTAAACCCTCAAAACCTAAAACCCTAAAGCCCTCAAACCTAAAACCCTAAAACCCTAAACCCTAAAAACCAGCCGGGCTCCCTCGCGCTGTAAGGTGCCCAGCAGCCGCGTGCGCAGCTCCGTGGCTAAGGCCTCGATGGCACCTGCCGGGGGCGGGGGGTGGGAGGGTTGAGGCTTTTAGGGTTTTAGGCTTTTAGGGTTTTAGGGTTTTAAGGTTTTAGGGTTTCAGGGTTTTAGGGTTTAGGGTTTCAGGGTTTCAGGGTTTTGGGAGGGTTTGAGGGTTTTAGGGTTCTAGGGGTTTTCGGGTTTTGGGGTTTTCGGGCTTTAGGGTTTCAGGGTTTAGGGTTTCAGGGTTTCAGGGTTTTAGGGTTTAGGGTTTCAGGGTTTCAGGGCTTTAGGGTTTGAGGGTTTTAGGGCTCTAGGGGTTTTCG